GGAAGAGGCTCCGAGAAGCCCAGGAGAGCCAGATTGCAGACAATTTGAAGGTCACTTAAACAATGTAATTAGCCGATTGTGTCAACGGTCACTTGTTCGTGATGCCTTTTTTCTGGTAACTCTGAAAACCTTCAAGCTCCCAGCAGAAGGAGTTGTTTTCATGCGCATGTGTAGCCTTGTGAGTGAGGGGAGAAGCCAAAAAAAAACAACACTCCCACGAACACATCACATGGAAGTGTACCCCCGGGTTGGTAGAGGAAAGCAGTCTTCCCACCTTTTTCCACTATCATGTTAGTGACTCGGAGGGTATTTAAATTTGGGATGACTTTGAGCCATTGGAGGAAAGGTAGTTGCAACACTCCGATTGGACAGTCCGGTGCTGGTTGCTGCACATGTGCCGCGCCCGCAAAACAGGGGCATTGCTGCAAAGCATGGAAGGAGTTACAGTAGCTGAAAATGGTCACGTGTACATATAAGCCTATATATTTTGCAACAGGGATGTATACAAAGATCATGACCCGTACAAGGTTGGAACATGTATATAAGAGCATTGATGAATCGTTTGGTTGCAACAGCTTTGGTCGTGCTTCATCTCCCTTGTCTCACATCAATCATACGCGGGTTCAAACCCAGGCCAAAGCCAACGCTCCAGTGCTCCTTGGTAGCGATGAGCTCCGATTTCTCACCTCGCTCTTGAGGGCTTCGGGAACATATCCGTTCAGGCCTCAGCCGACCTCTTGGAACACCCGGGTTGATCGGGGAAAGAAGAGGTCTGATGGTTGACTGTCGTTCGTTAATCATACATCACTTTACTCAAGACTCCCCAATAAAATGATTGATTCCCAATCGACAATCAACATGAGCCCCTCCTGTCTCGCCAATCCTCCAAGCCTGTTTGAGGCTCCACCAGCAGCTCTCGGCACTGAGCCTCACAGGAAGCAGGCCCGGTGGTCTTTGGGGCCAAGGCCTGGTGTATTCGTAAAGACCACCTTAAGATGTCGGAGCCATGACAAAATGTACCGATGTTGATGCTTAACATTGGTTCACATTGGTTCGTTTTAGATTCCTTTTTTAACTCTAATGCTTGTGAGTCATCACGATATAGCTTGTTGGGCGATGTAAGATGGGGACGGGGTCAGGATATCGTTGAGTTTAGTCATAGTAGTATACAGTATATGAAAATTGTTCGTTCATGTGCAAACCAGCTTGCTAGCCCGCTGTCGCACATGGCAAGAGTGGAAATGCGAGAGCAGAGCACAAGTAGCATATGTAGAATGACATTCATTAGGTGAGGAGTAGACAGACGGCGTTCAGGCATGGGGCTAAGAGAATATGCACCAGTTACGGTTTGCTATGTTTATGAATCAAACAACTATATAGTGGAAATGTGTACAATCATTTTTTTCTGGAAATAGCACCGAGAGGAAACAACTGATAAATAATTATTGATATAATCCCTGAGCTGTCAACAAACAAATAGGCTAGCAGTTCCTACCAATGCCATGACAAAGGCCATGCAATTCAGCAGAACCTTGTTCAGAATACTTAGTAGGTTCAAGTAGTGCCTCTGATTCTTACCGACAAATGAAAAAGTTCTGGAGACGCGTCTTGCAAAATATGGAAAAGTTCCTGTGGAATATGAAATGGTCTTGAGGTAGGAACTTGGATACATCTCATTCCTACTGCATACTCGCTTGTACTGGCCACATTGTTCCAGTTGAGAGGGTCGACAGTTTTGGAGGCCCAAAGAATGGGTACCTATCGCCAGAGCTGCTGCAGGTCGTGGGGAATCCTCGGGAATTGGAGTTGGAAGGCTTTGAACTCCAAGATTTGTATGAAAATGATCAATCTTCCATTGCTTGGGCAATTGCCATCATGTTTGAACAGGCACTGACAGGCACTGTTGCATCCGTTCACAAAGCCAACTATGAATCAGAATGACCAAAGCCCAGTCAAAGGATGTCCCGCGGCAATATCAATTGGTTTTACCCCAATAGCTGAAAGATGCTGAGAGCTATAGGTTGTAGGGCTTCTTACTGTTTAATAACCGGGTGGCTGTTAGTGAGCAGGTAAACAGCCTGAGTTTGGAATCTGGAGGGCTACAGTACTGGCGGACGGTGCCTCGGGTCCGGTGTAAGCGAGGGGCTCCATGGATGATGTGGTGATGGTCCAAGGGCCTTTTTTGGAAAACTCTTGGTGGATACAGTACATCCGAGCACCCACCCAATGTGACCATGATGTTTCAGGCAGAACTTTCGGCACTTCTTGTGAAACGCGATGAGAATTACCAAAGAGGATCACCTCGGTGGCCTGAGTGGCCTCTTGTCTGCGCAAGGTGAACAGCTTTTTGCCTTCTTGGGCTTTCACAAAGGGCCGCCGCGGATCCTGTGCTTCGGCCGCGAGAACAAACGCCAGGGCGGTTGTAGGAGATTGTTGACGTCTGACGATTGGTCGAGTTGGAATGGTTCTATCAATGTCACGTGCTTCGGGCCAACGATCTGCAGATCCGTAGCGATGCACTTGTTCCTAGTAGCTTCTTGCTACTAGTAGTAGACTAGTAGCCCCAAAAGCAAGATTCCTTTCAACTGCTACCTGTTGGAGCTGAAGGGCCGGGCCAACGATTTGCTTTCGGCATTTGTCGAGGCAGTTGAAGCTTGTTGATGATGCCGCACGGATCCCAAGCTGGTTACCTTGTAGGCGTGCGCTGTGGTGATCACAGGACAGCTTGTTAAGTGTGTGTTGCGGGGAGGACCTAGCACCAGCAAACAATACTCAGAGATGATCGGTCAAGTGGGCATGGAACCTACATTGAAATTTGTTGCTAGGCATCAAGTTGTGTGCAGCACTTGTATACGTACATGTTTGCAACAAAGCTTGCAGCATGCAAACAGGTTATATAGTTTATATAATCTGTCATAGCCTTCCTGATGTATTTTCTTACTGTTTCGTTCGTTTTCCCTTTAGACTTCCAAAATCACTTCCTTTCAGAATAAAACATTCACCGGTTCCAACCCGAGTTTTGTCCAAACTCGTGCTATTTGAGCAAGAACGACGAAGGGCAAAGGGTCCCTCGCTGAGACCTAGCAAAAATATACAAAACTAAGATATGGAGCAACTGAAACATTCCGGGCGTTGTGCTGCTCTTCCTTTCAGACAACCCTTTCCTCCAAGCCCCTTTGTGAGCCGTCTCCCTCCGTGTCAGTGGTCCTTGCATGTGAGAATGGCGGGTTCTTTTACAACTGTGAAAATTCCGGTTTGATCTACTAAAGAGATGTATGGTTGTGTTTAAGGTGACGCGTTGCACAAGGCGTTGTACAGGTTCAATTTGTTTGTTTTCATATTGAGGAGACATTGTAATGTTTACAGTGGTGTTGCTTGAACTACAAAAGCAACAAACAATTTTGGGCGGGATTTTTTTCATGTTTTTCTGTGTGTGTGATGTGCATATTCCTGGAACAACGATGCCATTTTCATATTCTTTGGATATTACAACAAAAAACACGTCTGGAAAATGAACAACAGATGGGTCCTCGTGGTTTATGCAACATTGTTCGTTTTCAACCCCAACTCATGTCGATGAGTAGAGAGTTTGTCAACACCTTTTTTGGAACGATTTTCCTGTTGTGTTTTGAACATGTGAATTTTCTGGGGTGCACATCGTTCGGCGGAGCTGAGGCAAGGTCGAGCCTTCCGCAGATGGCGGTTCTGCGGTTGGTCATGGATTTTTCGCCGCGGTTGGGAGCCTTGACACGCTGCTCTGCGGCCGAAGCCAGGTCTGAGAAGGTGTTCCAATGGTGTTCATGGATTTTATATCAATCTTTGCGCACAGATCCTTGTCCGTATGTTGTGTGGTTCATTCCAGGATTCCAGCTGGCCTGAATACATCTGAAATTTTGCGCGCATATAGTAAACTGCAAAGTTTGCAGTTCCTTTTCATGAGCAACCTGTCCTTCAGATCGTGTACAAGTCCAGGCAAGTCTTTCAGACTCAATTTGACTCGAGGCTTGCATGCATAGCCTGATATGATGGTAGCTTGAGCGGAGCGATGCGCAACGTGGTTTAGCATTTGTACTCGCAGTATAGGCAAAAATTCTGGCTTTGGAAACCTCAGGAAGCAGCTTCAGAAGTGCTGGTCCAGCACGACTCTGTAATCAGATGAGGTGATCTGGGGTTGGGTACATCTGAGTGAACAAGCAAGTTTCCGTTTGGCCACCTTACGGGGCCTGCAAATGTCCCGAAGCTGACATTTGCAAAGAACGTCGTTTGCATATTTCTTTGCAGCCATGTGTCCTGACATTTAACTGCAACTAGCTGCAGTGTTCAACGTCTCGTGTTTTGATATTACTATTGCATTATTTGTTGTTCAGAAATTTATAAGAACCTGATCCTTTCACTGGTGGGAGGAAGGACAAGTATCAAGTGTTGAGATTGACCAAAGAATCGGCTGAGGCCGCCGATGTACCAAGTCGTTCCCTTCGAGGAGAGTCTCCACTAGTGACAAGTGGCATCGCTATTGGTAACAAGAAGCTACTAGTAGCTTCTGGCATTACTACTAGGAACAAGGACGCTACTAGTAACAAAGGGCATCGCTACTAGGAGCAAGAAGCTAGTAGGAGCAAGAAGCTACTAGGAGCTCCGGAGACCGCAAACACCGGTGGCACTGGGCGGATCCCAAGTCTTGTGCCCAAGATGGGCCCATCCCACGGGGCGGAACCCAGTGTCTTCATGAGGCATTTGATCTCCAGATGCAACAAAAAAACAGTCTGGTGGGGGTTGTTCTTGTGGATAGGGATCAACTACATGAACTACATTCCGTTCCTGGAATCAAGGCATGGAATCATGAAGTTTAGGCGTTCCCCCAGACTGACCTAAACGGACGTGCTGCTGAGATATTCTGAGTGTGAACATTAATTACACCGATTCTGTTTCTTCTTGGCATGTTCCGAGGAGGCAAGCCAGAAGACATGTGGTTTCTTTGCTGGAGTCCTGGCGGTCAAGCTTGAAACTTGACAGATTCTTCAGACTTTATTGTAGAAGCTGCATTTAATTTACGTAATGTAGGATGATGTATAGTGAAGCGTTTCGCAGAACACATCCATGAGTTGAGGACGCTAGTTTGTTGCACTTGCATCACACCACACCGCAATGTCCAAGTTGCTTGTCAGTTGTACTGAATGGATGCACCACATGTTTTTTGCTCGGCTCAAGGGTAGATCGATATCGCCTGACAGGGCTTGCCCATCAATGTTTCCAGGCGTTGACCAGAGCTAAAAGAAAGTGGCAATGGCGAGTGACAATGAGGCCGTGAAGGGTGACTTGGGGACAACTTCCTCCGCTTCGACATGGCTTGGCCCAGTGAACGATGAAGAACACACTGGCTTGTTCATCGATGGGGAAGGCTTCTTGAATGAAGGGCTCGAGATGACGCAGGAGCATAACGATGGAACCTGCGAACCTTGCCTTTTCTTCACCTCAAAGCGAGGATGTGCCAATGGCCGGTCATGTGGCTTTTGCCACCTGTCGCATGTTGCCAGGTCTGCGCCTCGTCCCAGGAAACAAACCCGAGACAAGATCAAGGAAATGGTGGAGGAAATGTTCACCGTGGGTGGCCCGGACTTGCACAAGCGCCTGCAGGAAGAAGCCAAGAAACATACATATGCCATGAGTATCATCCAAGGATACCTTGATATGGACAATTTGCCCGCCGTGGATCTCGAAGCCACATGGGACTCCAAACTGGGCTATGTACTCTCCTTGTGATGAAATACTCTCCTTACCAACCCACTACTATTTTCAAGCAGCAAGTTTGCTGCAGCAAAGGAACGATGCTTTGCGAGTTTCAATCATCGTACCCCCGGTACCCCCGCTACCCCCCCTGTGATGACCTTCAGCCAGGTGTTTGATACGATGCACGAATGATATACGAATGCCGCCTTATTTTTGAAAATTGTAGTCTAGTTGCCGCCTTCCGGACTAAGGGATATGCGAGATTCCAAAAAGATATCGCGCGTCTTGTGCTGGGTAAACTTGTCAGTGCATGGATTTGGGCCGCAAACAACGAGTGCACCGATGCAAAAAAAGTTTAACTATATCTAAAAACCATTGTCGCTGAATAGGAAGACCTCCAGGTTTTGTCGTCCTCCAGTCGCCTTCAGGCGACTCCACTCATGAAAGGTTTTGCTAGGTGCTGTTTGTTGTTTCCCCGTTGTCAATCCAACGACGGGGTTTGGCAGTCCAAAGACTTGCCCCCATGGTACTTGTTGGATGTTTGTGTCATGGGGATCAATCCTTCTTTCTGGTCTTCTTGGGCTCCAGGATGGTCCAGGGTCGCTCTCGGTGGCCCTCTCGGTTCCGCGCCACGGCGGCGAAGGCCTGGGATGGGGATGGAGAAAGCAGCCTTTTCGAGCTGGACTTCTCGGGCGGACCGTTGGAGCCGCCCAGCGTGCGGTGCAGCAGGCACAGATGGAATCGACCCGGAGGGAGATGGTTTTCGAGGTCGACACTGTCGGTTGTCGGTGTTGTGAATGTTTCCAGTTCGCTTCTTTCTGCGACAGGAGCGACTTTTCTGTCACCTTGACAAGGGCATGCACCTGTTTTTGCCCCGTTCTTTCCCGTCACTTCATTACAGTAAGCTGTAGGCTGTAAGCTTTTCAAGTGATTCGACGACTCCTGGACAGGTCCGCGGCACGAGCTCCCAAGAGGAACAGCCGAGGTCTCAGATAGATCCACTAGGGGTCAGGCAAGCAAATGGACCAGCTGACTGACATACTGATTTTGGGATCTCTCATGTCAGGACAATGGCAGAAATGAATATATAGCTGACATGTCCAGGCGTTGCATTCTTCTTCGCAAATAGGGTCCATGGAGCGAAGCAGCGAAGACAAGCAGCTCAAACCAGAGATGGATGTAACATGTAAAATGTTCAATCATGATCAATATATCAAAGATATGATGGATTTGTGTTGGAATTTGTTGAATAAATATATATATAATAACATATAGAGCTTGGGATTTGGATCTTGCCCATTCTCTTTCAGGTCCAACAGGTTGTTTTGGCGTCCCGCCTCGTCTCATCTCCTTTGGCAAAATTGACTATTAACAACTGGCCCCGATGTTTTCCTAGCCTTTGCTGGTGATTGATCTCCATTTGCTCGTTACTTATCCTTTGAACATCCTTGCTCCAATTCTCCACTCTATAGACCAGTCAAACGCAGCACCTGTGAGTTCGCGCGGGAGTTTGAAGCGCTAAGAAAAAAACGCAGAGCTCGCGCCCAGGCAAATGGACCATGGGTGACTTCTGGCCAAAGTCTGCCAGAGGCGCGCCTCATATCCATTGTTCATTGTTTGTTCCACTAGAATTTCTATTTGATCAGGCATTGCGCAATAGATGGTTGTGCATTGTAAGGTTATTGTATTTGGAGCTGTTGGTGCTGGTGCCGGCACTTGTGCTGCTAGGGCCATTTTCGTTGCTTGCACGTTAATGTTCCTATTTTGGATGCATGTGAAGCACAAAGTAGCGGCGGAATGAGAATGCAAACAGCTCAACGGCCAGGGAATGGCATCGCGTGCGGTCCTTGGGGTCTAGTTCTAGTAGTCTTACAATCTCGTAGGTTGCAGCCTTGGAGTACCGTGGTAAGCCACAGGTTTGGTAGTTGATCAAAAGGTCGACACAAGACCTACTGTAGGTTCAGAGCTTTCTATGTTGCTTGCAAAATAAGGTATTTATACCTATTTGTTCATTTTATTTTTGGGCCCTCACCAGCGACCAGCATCACATAGAGGATATGTGCACGTTCTATACGCTCAACACTATATATATATATATAGTTCATTATAGTTCTTTTTTTAGGGAAGCGTTTGACACTCAGAGTTCAAAAGACTTAACTCTGGAGGTAGTTTCTCCCAAAAAAGGAGTTCATGTACAACCGAGACTAAACTTTGCAGATCAGTCTTTAAACCCTGCAAGCGACTGAACTCCGGAGTTTTTGATCGAGCAGAACAAGGTTATATCCTCAACTAGTCTCTGACTTCACAGAGACTGAAGGAGGAACACTTGCTTGGCTTCGCGAAGCGATCGCTTGCGTCGCCTCGTAGTGGTTGAATCCAAGAAAACATATATACATATTGGAGGGCCCCAAGCCTGTGCATTAATCTGAAAAGGCGGTTCGACCACGAAGAGGGCTTCATCCAAAGATGGCCGATCGGTCACGAAATGTATGGGGCGGAGAAGGAGATGCGACATGGCCATTAAAGCCAAATCGCCTCACCAAACACCTGGTCGCCTCAAAGCTTGAAGGTATGATTCACAGGAGGGCCACTTTGTACCGAACCAAAGTGAAAACATTTGAGGGAATGCTAAATAGGAACACACCTGTTGCCTGACAGCAAACGGGTCGATTGGTATGCCTGCTGACCATGCAATTGCCACAAACATGCAATCGCCTCCAGTCCCCAAGCCTTCATTCCGAAGACGTATTTCCACACGTCTAATTTGACAAGGCTCGCTTTTCACGCTGCTCCTCACTCTCTTGCAAGGACTGCGCGACAGCCAGGTCTAACTGATCCTGTTCCCACTTGGCCTTGGCATTCTTAAAATTTCTCAAACAAATGTTGCATCTCTTGGAAGTAGGTCTCTTTTGTAGTGTCTGAAGCTGCTTCGTTGTAGTGCTGCCGGCAATAATTGCCCCGCACCTTCTTCCGGGAACATCTCACACCCGTGCCTGCCATGCATAAATTATTACCTTCCCCTGAGCCCACACATGAAAGAAGTGCTATGATTTGGGGATGTTTGGCAATTCCTGGCAAAAACGATTCCTGGCAAAGACAACGAACTTGCATCAACGCTCCTGGGACAGTTCCTCGCCTAAGAAGCAAGACACCAGAGGCACACCCGACGAGCAGCACCAGCCGTCATGCGATGCCAATGGCCGCCATAAGTGGAGCTAAAGTGGAGCTAAGCACCGACAACTTTGATAGCCAAAACTGGAAGAGGATTTGAATAGCATTAAAAAACAATACAATAAACTTGCGAGATAATGCCCAGCAAGTCTTCAAGACAAAAAGACTGAACTCTAGAGTTTGGACGTGGTAGGTGTTTCAAGGAAAACGGAAAAATATATCAAGAGCAAACTCACTAAAACAACCACATCCCTGGATATTCTTTGGAGTTAATACAAATAAAGACAAGGGCCTGAAGCATCTCCAAACTATAGAGGATAGCCAAACAATAGAGAAAGGACATGAAAGGACTGAACCCTGAGACTCAGTCCTTTCTTTTTTTTAGCGGAAAGCAAACAAAGGTTCTTCGTAGCACATAGTCACATATTGTACGGCACTACAGCGAGAGCGATACTAGGTTCAAAATCAAAAGGGGGGCCACACACACATATATATATATTATTCTATTATATGGGCGCCTGGTTGTCGCTGAAAGTATCAATCATGTTCATGACTGTGCAAGCAGTTTCTTTGCAGTGGGAGATCCCATTAGTCATCGAAGGCGCAAGCAATAACCTTGGTTATTTGTTTTATGTTCCTGATTGTCTCGTATCCCTTTTGAGACTTGACTCGGTCGATCCAGTAAGAGGTCAATGGACCGATGGATTTCCAGTTCCCAGGGAGCCAAGCTTTTGGACACTTTGCTGGTGGCCTCGTAATATCACAGGAATTGCATGTAATTTGATTGGTACAATGGGATGAATTTCAATCACCGGGAGGAATCAGATCAAATACCAGTCGCTTGGAGCATGCCTTTTTGCCTCAATTTCATGCTATAGTCTTCAGAATGATGTCTTCAGTTTGTTGTTGAACATCATGTTTGCCAACAGTTTGCCTAGGTGCGCTACGCCGGAAGCGTCAGCCTTACTCACGCCCTTCTCATTCGTGCGCTGAAAGAACTGGTCGCGAAGCCATTTTCCGTGAAGTTGACGGCAGAGTTTCGGGATTTTGTGGTGTAGAAGTGATGACCGTAATGAAGTAGAGTAGATTGTAGTTGCTATTATTGTTTCCAGTGCCCTGCGTAGTAGGTTGAAGAGATGCACTGGATGTGAATCACAAATCCATGAGCCCCATGAAACACTGTGTTGCTAGACGGTATGGCTGTACATTAAGTGGCTGCACAAGTTTTGAGGTTGTAGCTGGAGTTCTTGTGGATCTCGAGTAGCAGCTGTGCTCACTTCAGAGAAGAAGGAACTGAAATTGACAAGATCAACGATGAACCAGTTCATTTGGATTTGTCTCGAAAGTCTGCAAGATTACTGCTAGCAAGAGCATTTCACTTGAGGGAAGATGGAAAGGACATGAAAACACAAAGGCTCCGAATCAGCTTTGCCTCTATTCCCATGTTTGTAGCTGCTTTGTTCCATTGATTCATGCGGAAAGTGCATGAGCTCCTGTCAATTTCGGAGACAAAGACGTGCAAACATGATGCCTGTATGAAGTAGATTGAAGTAGTACAAGATATTGTTAAGCGGTTCCAAACAACCGATCCGATCATCTTAAGCCCAAATACAAATGGATCCAAATGGCCCTTTTCCACTTGGCCCCAAGTTCTAGCTTTCAGATCTGCTATGTCTATACATGGATGAGCCACAACAACCCCACGCGGAAGCCAGCTGCAGATGACATTCCAGATGCTTTTCACGCCATGCCCAACGCCCTTGCGGCCTCTATCGAGCAGGCAGTTCAGCGAAAGTTCCAGGAGGGTAAAGCCTAGTAGCGATGCTCTTTGTTACTAGTAGCGATGCCAGGAGCTACTAGTAGCGTCCTTGCTCCTAGTAAGTAGCGATGCCCTTTGCCGGACAACATTTGTTTCACAAACTGTACCGAGGCAACTTTTCTGAGACCAAGGACCTCGGACACGGAGATACAGAGATACAGGTGTTTGGTTTTCTTGAACTTCCATGTGCAAAGTATGGAGGCAACAAACAATAACAAACATATCATATAAGAACAATCTGATCATTGTTGCGCTTTGTTTGCTATTTTTTACTGTTCCAAAACTCAAATCTCGCTATGGCTATCTTAGCTGTTGTAGACAGGCCCTGCTGCTGCCGGAGGAGGGCTTTCTTGAGGGCTGTGTGTCTTGAGATATCGGGATGAATAGCAAACTATATGTTACCTTCCTTTTTGTTTCTTTGTTTCTAATAGCAATGACCTCCAACCCACTAGTGATGGCCTCCAAGCGATGACCTCCAACCTAAGAGCGATGGCCTCCAACCTGACAGCATCAATAAAATTTACTACTAGTAATTTAATATATGTTAAAGGCACTTGTTACTACTAGCGTGGCACTTGTTACTACTAGCGTGGCACTTGTTACTACTGCGGCGAGATGTGATGAAACAATTAAACCATGCGATACGATGCCTCATTCAGCTAAACGTTTGCATCATTTTGCTACTTAGGTGCACTATGGTGCACTAGTGGTCTTTTTCTGCGTGGAACATATTGAGGTTGTTCTAAAGGAAGTCGTTCCGGCTGGCATTGTTTAGCTCAGCTTGTCCATGCTTTTCCGAGTGAAAAGCCGGATGGTTCCGTGAGTTTCAGAGACGAAAAGATAAAGGAGAAACGACAAAGACAGGGTTCACAAGCTTCAGGCATTGCAATACAGTCAAGAACCTTTTGTCCTTGGAGATCTCTACAGATAGCATTCAGGAACTGTCCTTGGAATATCATTACACAAGAACAGTCCCAAGAATTACTCATCAAGCATTCCACACTCATCCCGGTGGCGCCATGGGGAAGACCACGCAGACCACGAAGACCACGAAGACCGCGCGGCGAGTGCAGTCTTCCCGAGATGGAGACTCCAGGTCAGGCGGCGATCACCGTGACCGTCCATACTGAGGTCCATACCGGGGGAATGTTCATACTGTAATATCTACTATTTGTAATCTTGTTGTGGAAACAATCTAGAAATGTCCATGGCACAGTGAGGGGGGGGAGTGTTTGAACCCTTTGATGATGTGGAACATTGTCGAGCCGGAACTGGCGCTCACCGCCAGCTCCGCCCTTCGCTCCCACGCAGCATGGCCTTGCTCGACCGCCCCTGGCCGAGCATGTGGTTTCGATCGCTGGCGTGCACGGCATGAACGGCAATTTCAAAAGGAAGCTTTTAGACAGGACGCTTTTGGTTTTGGTTTACCTCGAATCCCTCATATATCTATATAATATGAAGGAGAAGTGCATTAGGCTTGTGACGCATTGTGACGCTATGTATCTCTATGATCTCGTCTATTGTATGTCTAAGTCTACGCGACAAGTACCTTTTGGCCGTTTGGGCCTGGGAGAACATCATTTGCCACACACCGAAGCATTCGCTGCACAGGCGCCTTCAGGAAGTTCTGCTTCAACGTCCGGCCACAGGCGCCTCCACCAGGCTGCTGAAGGCCCCAGAGCTAGACACAGAAGCGGAGACACGTAGAGACAGAACCACAATGTTTGGTGGGCCAACTAGTCCAAATGTCTCCTAACAGCTTGGAACCAACCATGTAGCGCAAGATGTTCTGTGTTTTGTCCATCAGATTTTGTCTAAGGCACAGTGCTCCTATGTGAACATCTGAGATGAGAAGACACTGTGTATGTTTACTCTGTTGGTTGTGATGAGTCGAAATATATATATATATATAATAGAATTATTTTCCCACAATATGAACATGCTGCTTTGATGCTGCCATGGTAGCACTTAGTGTGCTCATATCATGCTTTGATCAATTTGTCGTGCTTTGATTACTTTTCCCTGCCATGCATTTGTTGAACAATAGGCTGATACAGCGCTTCAAGTATATATACTCTGTTGCGTCTTGCAGGAGAAGACTAAATTCCATGTGAGGGTACAAGATGTTGACAGGAAACTTGACAACTTTGGGTGAAAGCTGTCAATGTGCAGGCAGATCTCAGTGCTCTCCGTAGATTCCGAGGCCAGAACCACTTACTGAACCATACTGAACCGCACAATCGCGTTTGTGTTTTTGTTGGCGCATGCTGTGCTTCTGTTGTGGCATTGGAGGTGTGGTTCCTGTTCAGTCTGCACCAAGTGTGCCGATTCGGCTGGGAACATGATGGTTCTAGAAGGTAAATGGACATGTATGCAGAGTATACAGCATGTTTCCTCTCTCAAGCATGCTCAAGAGCGTGAAGAGCTTGCCAATGCCGGTTTGACACTGAGCGTCAGACAATCAGAGGGACAAACAGTTCAGACTGCCAAAAGAACGTGTAGGACCTAGGACGTAGGAGGCGGACTGCGGCATAGTTTGTCGTTTGGATGTCAACTCAAAACAAGATGACCCCATGCCAACGCAGCAGCCCCGTTCAGTTGTTTGGAGTGTAGACACAGGCAAAGCTTGCCCGCACTTTGGCAAGCGTGGCGTGGTGGAGTTCTTTGCAGAGCGAGGAGGTGTACTTTTGCCAAACCTTGGGTAAGTATATAATTGCATGGGAACCACACAGTCGAAGTTTGAGGCACACTGCTGAGTCACTGCTGTCTTGTTGGGTTGAACATATATATAATAATATACATCCTAGTATCGACACCCAACCTGTGATGAGGGGACCCAAATTCCCAAGTTGACATGGTTGGAGGCCATCGCTATTAGGTTCCTCAACCTTTTTTCTTACTTTTTTCCTCAAGGAGCAAGGACGCTACTAGGGGCTCCTGGCCTTACTACTAGGAGCAAGAAGCTACTAGGGGCTCCTGGCCTTACTACTAGGAGCAAGAAGCTACTAGGGGCTCCTGGCATCGCTACGAACGGAGCAAGGACGCTACTAGGGGCTCCTGGCCTTATTACGAGGAGCAAGAAGCTACTAGAGGCTCCTGGCATCGCTATGAGCGGAGCAAGGACGCTACTAGGGGCTCCTGGCCTTACTACTAGGGGCTCCTGGCATCGCTACTAGAAACAAGGACGCGACTAGGGGCTCCTGGCCTTACTACTAGGAGCAAGAAGCTACTAGGCGCTCCTGGCATCGCTACTAGGAGCAAGGACGCTACTAGGGGCTCCTGGCCTTACTACTAGGAGGAAGAAGGTAGCTACTAGGGGCTCCTGGCATCGCTACTAACGGAGCAAGGACGCTACTAGGGGCTCCTGGCCTTACTACTAGGAGCAAGAAGCTACTAGGGGCTTCTGGCATCGCTACGAACGGAGGAAGGACGCTACTGGGGACTTCGCAAATTCACGACTAGGTTGAAACACATTCCGAAGACTCGAATGACGTCCAGGCGATGCGCCTTCGGGGGCTGCACGGCCTGCAACTTGGGCACCTCCACGCTTCAACAAATACGCGGGCTGGGTGGAGTGGCGCAACGCTCCATAGCACGAAGAGATCGCTCACGAGTGATGGCCATTATATCATGCTATATCATATCAATCTCCATAAGGTAGGTAGACGAAAGAGCCGGCTATCGATCATATATTTTGTAATTAGTGCGAGTGTATGAAGAGGATAAGACGTGTTGTTTGCAACCGCACAAGCTGCCTGTCACTTGTGAGTGTACATATGATAGTCTTATGCAACTGTCATCAACTGTCTACTCTCTTGTCTTCATTCATCACCACCGTCATGAATGCAAACATGCGACATGTCGTGCTTGAAGCGCTTGCTGGGTCCTCATTTAGCTGAGTATGAGGCTATCTTCCTGTGGGTCAATGCCATGGGTGGCTCGTTTGACAATGCCTTTGCCAAAGGAGGCATTGCAGCCGATTGCATGGTTTCCTGTGAACGCATAATTACACAACACTGTCCCTTACGAACTTGACGATGACGCGCTGTGCAAGCGATATAGTGGGCCTAGCTCTCAATGATTCATGACTGTTCATGGAAAAATTAACTTTTCAACCTTAGTATAAGTATAAGGTAAATCCCACTACGAGGAGGTCAGGATTTGCATAGAGCACCGGCTGCTTTTTGTGTCCGTAAAGCCACCAGCTTTTCCCGCCAGGCCAACACATCTCCTGGTACGTTGGTGGTGCAAACCCCACCGAGCGCTCTCCAATTGTCCAGCGCTTGCTGTCGTTGAAGCGGGATACGTACCCTGGCTAAGTGTTTTTTGCTAATTGACACGCAGCCCCACTGCCATATGACTCATTTCCCAAGATTGGCTCGCCCAGGCCGGCCTCCCCTTTCCTGGTCGGAAGGATAGGTACCATTTTGTAGCATGCATGCGCAGTTTTGTTGTTTAGCTTGCCTGTGAGGTTGTTGTTTAGCTTGCAGATGCTTGCAGCTTTCTCCAGGCAAGTGATCCTTTTCATCCGACCTCGTGCAGCTTGTCCAGAGACGGGGTGGAGACTGAACAAGGAGCATGGCCTCTAGACTTCATGGATGAACAGTACAACAATGAGAACCGCCATTGATATACTAATTTGCCCAGCTCCTAACAACTAGGGACTAGGGATACTGTACCCTGACTCGAACCCCATTCCTGTTGCCAGTCCAAGCCTATGGTCTTTCCTTTTGCCTACGGCTATAACCCATGTTCATCCAACTTCTACGTGTGTACTACTGGATCTACTGGTATCCTGTTTGTTTATGTTTGTTCCAAAACACCGCCATCTCTTGAAGGCGGATTACTGCGCGACTAAGGCAACCGATCCATATATCAACTGCGGACCATGCAACTATGTGGCCCACAACCCACGGAGCCCCGGAGACATTGGTCATTCACCTGCGAGACATTGCTTGTGAGCCTGAAGTGTTCTTGTGCCATGTTGGTTCCTCTAGAAAGGCATTTGTTTTTAAGGTGTCTCCAAGGATGTTTACCAACATTAAGCTCAGGAAAAAAGGCTTCGAGTTTACCTGGAGCCTCAAGGATTTCAATTCCCTCCAGCATCTTGGCAGAGCAGAAGCTGAATCTGCCAGATTCAAAACTGAACTATATACAACTGGTCAACCAACAAGACCTGTTGTTGTTACAGTATTCGTTTCAATAGCTTGAAGACCTGCAAGCCTTTGGAGTGCGACCAAGCCTTGCATCAAGACAGTATTATTATCCTACGAGCGGTTCTCATCCAGTTGAGAATGAATGCAGTGATATAGTGCTGCGGTCTCGGACTTGACTTGTCCATCAATACATTATATAATATGAAAAATAACGATAGCTTCTCGATGCTTCTGGACTGGTTGGTTTCCTCGTGACTCCTCTTGGCTGAGGAAATCAGAGGCGTTTAAAGAGTCTCTCGGCTGCAACAGGCTCACTGGCAAAGAAGTCCTGTATGAAACGACTATGCAAGGCTTCAGATGGAAGGTGCTGCAGAAATAGATCTTTCTGGTGGTGTCAATGAGCCTTGCAACAATGTTGAGTATTAGTTTTAGTTGTGCAATGTCCATTTCACAATGCCACAGGATCATGATGGCGACCCAGCCTGCAAGTGCAGCACGGGCACGAGTCAGGAAATGGGCCTGAGATCCGACCACAATGGAGGTCGCAAGTCAGGGAAAAAGGCGTTTTGTATCCCGTCGTGTCTTTTTTCCTGCTGTCGCAAAGCAGCGTCAAACTGGAAAAACAGACATGTTGCCCCCGCCTCCTGTCGCTTGATACTGTATTTCTTTCTAGCTGTAGGCTCTTATGATCTTTCAATGCAAGGGAGCAGCCTTACTATGTTCAAACCCTGCTTTGTGTTATTCTTGAGTCTTCAGGTTCTTGTGAGAACCGATTCAATATGGCTCAACACTTTTGGACAGAGATTCTCTACGACTTGCATCTTGCCTGTGGGGGGAAAACCAGCATCTAAGCCTGAATGATTGACGCATGGTGCTACTTGACAGCTTGGCATTCTTTGGGAGTCTGTTTCACAGCATTCAATCTTGTGCTGTTTGGCTGTAGTTTTTGTCAGCAGAATCTGCCTTTACTGGAACACGGTCTCGCACAGCTCTGAACACCATGTGAACGTGACAGGAGGAAGCGAGCAGAGCAGTTCAGCCGCTTGTGCCCAGGCGGAGTCGTCCTGCGCAGAAGTTGCTTCCGATGGAGCCATGAGTCTACAGGTTCTCCCTGGTTCTCCTAAAGACAGTATACCTCCGGTTCGGTTGGTTACGCATGGTTCGATTGGTTTTGCCGAAATTGATGTTCATGTCTGTTCAGTTCAGAGTCGGTTACTTTGCTGGCCAGTTGCTGGTCGGTTTGATTCAGTTCGGTGTTCTTGTTTAGGTGTGTCGTTTTTGGTTCTCGCGCAGCAGTGGGGAGTTGTGGCTCTCACTGAGCTGCTTTTCCGGGAGGATGGGGCTCGGTCGTGCTCCCATGGTGGCCGTGGGTGGTACTTAAATGGGCGGGGCAGTTATATCCACAAACAACCCCTTCGGGTAGTCGCTTTTCCAGGGACGGTGGGCGCCGATAGGCTCCGACCAGGTCGAGTCTAGTGAGAACCGAAATGCCCTCTTCGACATTCCATCGATATCTTGATGTCCATGGCTCCCGCTACTAGTTTGGGAGCCTGCTTGGGAGGAGCTGCAACGGGCACTCACGATGCGCACATGTGGGCACTTCCCACATTGTGGAATATTTCAACCAACACGTGCCACGGTCAGGCTGCAAGCACAGCCGAGCCTCCTCACTGAGCTATTGCAGGTTTGGGTTGATGCCTCAGCCAACAGAACGATTCAAGAGAGCTGAATATACATGGACCATCATACACCAAAGCCTCTTGGATTTGGGACGAGCCCTTATTTGCAAACGGTGTGAACTACAGGAAAGTGGGGAGAAAGTTCCAGTTCCAAACTCAGCCAAAACTCGGAAAGATGCTTGACAATTTGCTCAGTCATGCACTCAATGTCCCATGACGTCAGGATCTGACCTTTGCTTCTATACTTCTACCCTGTGGCATCATTCTAGAACGCTTATACAGTATGTGTAGACATGTGTAGTAGTATATGTAATTATGTGTATATATATGTATTATAATATACAGTACATTATGTGTTATTTTGATCGTCGATTTGTTTTCTCAAACAACTGCAACTCAACAAGCCGTTGGGGGTCCATGCACCGCAGTCCTCAGTCACGGTGGTGGAATGGGGCAGAAAGACCAATGAATCCGTAGTAGTGTAGGATCGCTACCCTTTGTTCTCCGAATGTGCAAATTTGTTTGTCGAACTCCCTGGAGGTGCTTGACATGTTGACTCCCTCCCCATATGGCTGTAGATCACCATAGATCACTATTTGTTGAGATGTTGATTCTTTGCAACACACTTCAGCACGATTATTCATTGCCCGCCAAAAAGTCAAGCGATGAGAACATGATTGGGGCGTTCTTCGATGATCAATCCATTTAGTCATCCAACCAGCAAACTCGTAGCTATCTTGGAGAGCAAATCACCTAGGTGCAGGGCAGAGACTTTCACGGTGCCAGACTGTTGCTGCGGCTCTTGCGACAAAATCATTTGCAGGACGGAAGACGGAACAACTCTGAAGCCAAACATTACTGAGGATATTGCAAGACTTCTTGCTTGCAAACATGTATTTTCGTCATGAGTCATGAGGCATTGTTTGCTGATGCCTCTTCAAGTCATAAACTCACTGCCAACATGCTGCAATTTCCTTGTGATTATGATTGCTGCAGAACACCACTAACCAGGTGTGTCAATGTCAGAATTCCTTCTTTGGGGTTTCAGTGTCAGATGTGGCACCATCGAAGCATTTCTAGGGATCTCATGTTGTTTTGCTCAACCGCTGACGGTCGAAGAAATGCGATGGGAGACTTTTGGCCTTGGCCTTGCAGTGATCAGGTTAACATTTTCCACTACAATTGCGCGATTTGCGCCGCTGAGAGGGCAGGTGCATGGAGGCGCTGGCGTCGACAGCTTGTCGATGCAATTGTGTGACACATGCGGAAAGCTGTGTCGACACTCAATGACTCAACCGCTGCGCCATGGCAACACATGCAACACGGAGAAGTACCAAAATCTGTGGGACTCAGCCAGTTGTGTTGTCTAGGGCCTAAACCCCAGCATGTGTCTCGAAGTGTGGGCCATGGCCGCCAGGTATGCCACTGCAAGCTTGGCAGAAACCAAACTATTGGGTGTGATAGCCTTGGAGTCGGGGGAATCAGATTATGATTTGTCATTTTGTTGCTGTTTATATGCCCGTTGTTGCTGCTTGTCCATTTCAATTTCAGCAAAACACATTTCACAGATGGCCCAGGTTTGTTTGTGCGCCTGATGTGCTGTTCTCACGCTGTGCATTGCTTCTGTGGTGCCATTCCGGTACAATATGGTACAATGACAAACAAGCAAAATAGTAAATTGCTCATGACTTGACCTCACCTCGTGAATTTGCCTTGCATTTGTTGCAACAGGAATGGCATCAGCATAGAATGTATATACAGTAGAGCTATTGTGGGTTGCCATTCAGACTGGCTTTGCTGGTGCTGCTAACTATAATTAGGGTAGTGCTTTGCGACCATCAAAGCTGTCCCTTGATTCGCTCTCTTTCCTACCGTTTTCAAACGATTGTTGATCCCAAGAGTGGCATGCACATACAACGCAAAAGGATACAAGAGTTTACTAAGGTTCACCAGCTTTGTTGACAAGACCAACCCCAACAAAGGCGCAATTGTGGGGGCACAGCTATCTTACTTGGAGTCCCTGGGGCACTTAAACATGGACCCTGGACATGCATTGCACAGTCCTGTCCAGCGAGGTCTCAGCGGACATCATCAGCTTCAATACAGCTGCAGCCTGAAACACATGCATGAATGTAACGAGATGATGTGGGCATTGGTCAGTTCTGGGTTGCGAGTGTGTGGGGGGGAGGCACTCTATCGAAGAACACAACTGGTAGTTGCATATATCAATACATGAATATGAACAGTTACTAAGGACCACGTCTTCCATTGTATGGGAATACTGTGACTGAATGTCGATTATTCACACACAGACACGCACACCTGGCTGATGTGCGATTCCGTGTGACTGCCCTTGCAAGCCGTTGCCCATTTGGGCCTTTGGGATTTCGGAGTTCAGACTTTCACACTGGCCAGTCAGCTTGCCGGCATTGGACAGGTGTACACCTCTCATGTATGCCAAAGCGGCATTTCATACTCGCTGAGTATGATATCAGTACTGTCCATATGCTATCTAGATTACCTCAAGATAGGCTCGCATACCTGTATGCTTGAAGGCATCTTAGTCTATCATAGGGTGTCGTGAATAGGGGGGTCACTGGTTGGATCTTGGTATTTAACTCCAACTGGGATTCCGGCAGAGGTCCTCAGCGCGAGTTCTTGGAGAGACGCTTTGCAGAGCTTCCAGGTGAATTGTGGAGCTGTGTGAGAGATTGATATCCATAACAAATGAGATGCACATTTTGATGGATTTGATGTCAATGTGAGGGTGTGTGCCTTTGCTGCCAGACGCTTCAGACCACGGCCTCGCTTCGCTGCGATGCTACCAGCATCAACTCCTTGCTCAGCGTGCGCCCAACCGGGAGTGGATATAGTTTACCTCAATGATTAGAGGGTTCGGGATGGATTCATCTTCAAAAATGTTCAAAGTTTGATCATGCTTGATGATTGGATTTGGTTCATCCGAAAAGCTGCTAGCGCTTGTTCCTTTGTTGCACATCTCGGCTGTTGGACACAGCCTAGACCCTAATCTCAATGTTGAAGGTATTCCCATTGCTTGTGTCATTGTAGGCATGTTCCGTGGTTCTTTAGACCACCTGTGCCTTTGAAACTGAACACCGATATTGTGTCGGAGACCTCGAATGTCCAGTGACAGAGAGAGAGAGAGGTACTGTATCAATACAGAGAGAGAGGTACTGTGCCAGTGACAGTGCCTTTCAATTGCCTCCCATATCCTTCGATGCAATTGAGATCAATTGAGTATATTTGAGATTATTTGAGTATGGGTTTGTTTCGTCGCATGTGGGTGCAGGCCTGTGAGAAGGGTTCTGCCTGGGCAGAAGCACTTTCACTGCGAGGGGCCTTTGTGCGGAGGTCGTGCTTGACGAAGCCAAGCGAACAGAGAAGTCGCGATACGATCCACAGCTTGCCTTCCTGCTGTTGTTTTGTTGTTGTTTCTCCATGTTTCTCCAATTTACATAATAGTTATAAAATGTTATAAACAAATTTGATCACGGCAAAGTACCAATAAAAGTGAGCAGATCATCAGTTGAAGGTGGATATGTAGATGGAACATGATGGACTGATGCGTAAACATCCAGAGCATTGCAGTATGTACCGTAGCTCGTTGCACGACTGTAGCCGAATCACCCACCTGTGTCCACCAGCACGGGTAGGACATGGTAGGACGGTCGGACTAGCACGGGTTGGTTTTGGGAGGTCGCTCATCGCCGGTGCCAAAACAAGCCACAACGACCCGCCCAAATTCGCTTGAAAACATGACAACTTGACAACTCATCAATCTTGGCAAGCTGCTTGCACCGTAGGAATCAACGGGACAACGGCCACTCTCCCACCCAGGTTGGCCTGGCGACATGCCGACGTTTTCGCGCAGAGTGCCACCATCAGCGCGTGCAGCAAGGTGCCGAACCACAAAGTTCGCCTGATATTTATGTTGTTTACTACTAGGAGCGAGAACGCTACTAGGGGCTCCTGGCCTTACTACTAGGAGCAAGGACGCTATTAGGGGCTCCTGGCCGTACTACTAGAAACAAGAAGCTACTAGTAGCAAAGGATGTTGTTTACCAGCAGCCATCAATTTCGCACCAGTCCGGTGTACTGCTGTTTGAGTTTCTCCATGGCCAGAGTGTTTTCAAAAGACCTGTGCCGGGCAAGTTAATGGCCCTGCAAAGTTCACCCAAGAACTCTATAGAAGTTCACCCAACTTCTTATTCTTCCGAGGGAACTGGCACCAGGTCTGCTGTACAGAGATATATATATATATATAAACGCCCTGACACCAACCACTGGTGACAAGCGTCATTTTCGGGAGCACTACAGCATCATTATCGTTGTTCACTCATCCTCGGAAGGTTTCCCAGATGAGAGGGAGGCAGGAGGATATAATTTTGATTACAGTATGCCCAAGGCGGAAGGCAACTTCACTCTCACTGACCAGCACGATGCACTTTGGGCTTGTGAGTCAACACTGACAAGCCCAGTTGGGCATGCATTTGTTGTTCAGGTCAAGCTTTGGGAAGAAGCTTTGCGCTGTCAGGTGCTCAGCATGCAGCAGGTTGGAAGACGCACAAAAACCACCATCTTCAAGAAAACTCCAGATTGTGTTTCCAGCAATGTATGTGGTGTAAGCAACGAACAAAAGCCATGCGTGGCATATCCAGTTGAAAGACCGGCTCCACCACCTGGACATACCTGCACTGCCCTCTTGTTGTGTCATAACACCTTGACAGGGTTTGTGCCCAAGCGCAGCGCAAGCCCCTACTAGCCCCTGCTTCAAGCTACGGATTGAAGCGAAAGTCAAATGCAAGCATACCTATGGGTAAACACACCGTTAAACGGCTAAATCGTGCTAAACGGCAACATCAACATTTTTTTTGACTTGCTTTATGGACTTGTCAACAAGGAGTTGCAGTAATTGAACAACAAGTGTCCACAGCACTGAACGGCAAAGCGACAGAATCAGAAGGTTGCGCCGAATCAGACGGAATCCCCGAGTGTCGGACGACTGGAATGGACTGGAGTGTCGGAGTTTGGGCAGGTGCACCGTGCCCAAAGAAGGCGAACGCTGGGAATCTCAGCATGGTTGACCTCTACATGGTATGTTGCCAATGGAACCGCTTCACCACATCAGCTGAGGATCTGAGGATTCAATGTACCTTTAAGAACACGTTCGAGCAGACTAAGTGATGCTAGGATGTGTCGAGAAGTCGGAAATACCTTTAGATCTTCCCGCAAAGACTGCCAGGCTCAGAACATACACCAACAATTCTATTGCAGGCATTCATCATTGACCTGTTCATGCATTATGGCTCGGTCCCAGATACATACTTGATCTAAGTATTCTAATATAATATACAGTATACAACTATATACATAAGACACAGGGCTGGTACACGACACAAAAGAAACATTGTAACAGAATGGAACGGTTGTGGTGTATCGCGCTCAGGTGTACCTTCAACATCCTTCGACCATTTCATGTCCAGAGGACATGGCCTGGCCACATCCGTTTTTAAGGGGACCCTAACAGGATGGCAACTTGCCTCTTTTTTCCGGAGGTGTGTTAGTGGGCCCACAGAAGCATGGAACATTCAGGTGGTAACTTGCAGCGCAAGCATCAAAGCCTGCGAAGAAGGGGGCCTGCTGGGATGCTCAGCTTATCTGGAGTTCCCCCCCCAGCTGGGTGCCAAAAGTGTTAAACAGGATGTGCCAAACAGTCAGCTTTCCCCATCTTTACAGACTTTCATGTCCGCTAGCTCTCCATGCGGCGACCTCGCAGACACAGCGACGACTCCAAGGTGGCTTGAAGCTTTGCACAGCTTGGGAGAGTTGGCTGGCTATCGCTGCGTAGGCAGCAAAAAGTCAACAATGAGAGGTTTTTTGTTCCACTCATTTCGGCGGTTCTGACCTGTGAGTTGCCATCCCATGTGCGGGCCATTTGGCAGCCGAGCAAGATCAGGTGTCGGTAGGGAGAGCTGTGCATGATTGACTAGGACTAGGATTCAGCTGCTCTTCACTTTCAAGCCGGTAACTGGTTCGAAGCTTCCAGGCAATGTGTTCACGTATTCAGCTGCCATCTCTGCTTGTGAGAAGAGCTCAGCGTCACTTGGTTAAAGTTATGTACCTTTGATTACCATGTCATCCTTTCAATGTACTCCCAAGCCCTGAAATGGCAGCGTTGCTTTTTGACGTTGGAAATTCATGTAAGCTTGCTCGCGGAGAATGGCTGGGTCGTTCATGTATGTTTGTACGGAATATCAGCATCATGCCTGAGGAGTGGATTTACAGCAACTAAGATAGCCGACCTGACGGTCTAGAAAGCCATTGTGTTGGAAGATGACACAGAATTCTTTCCTTACAACAGAATTGGGCACGACAGGCGGAAGGAAAGAGCAAATGAATTGACCACTCAACACATCTCAACTCAAATCCCACGCAAGCAGCGGATGATACAGGTGGCCTGCGGCTTCTGGGCTCTTTCAGCAGATGGCCCGGAGCGCCCGATTGATTCAACGTAACTATAGGTCACCATTGTGCACCAGAGGACAGTAAGATTCAGTAAGAAAAACATAGAAGAAACAATGAAAAGCAGAAGTCATTTGATGTAATTGGGTGTTATTTGTTCAGCCACTTCTAGCACGCATCCATGTTTTTTTAAACCCTGGGGGTGGGAATGCGAAGACCAAGGAGGCTTTGCTTCGCCAGAATCCCTGAAACCCTAAACCCTTCCCACAGGTCACAGGTCCCGGCAAATGGCGATTTCAGGCGTCGTGCCGCGTGCGGCCAAATGTGGTGAGCTACGGTGCGGCGGTCAAGGCCGCCAAGGAGCGTCAATGGACATGAGCGAAGAATTTCACCTGGTTGCTCATCTCGGCTGGATGTTTGGGGCGCTTGGATTGCCTGACTGGATGTTGAATGCTCCACTGACATGTTGACTCTTAAACCTCAAAGGATCGAGGGAAACATTGGGACCGGCAGCACGTCCTCTCCAGCCAGACAAGGGGACCCCGTTTTTTGATTACTCCCAGGACTGGCAGCTTTCGATCTTGATCCTGGCTGAGATGGTCGAGGATTGAATCGTATTGAATCGCGGGTGTGTCTTAGAGTCATTATATAGTTGTAAACTTGTCATGGATTGTCATAGCGTGCCATAGCTAGAGCTCTCAAATTGAAATCCGGGACGTTGGCCTGTAGTTTTTTTGTAACTGTCCCACCAGAGGCAGCTTTGCGGATCAACACGGTCGTTTTCAGCGCTGTCATCGCTGCCTGTGCTCGTGCTGGGATCCCAAGATATGCCCAGTCTGGAGCTCCTTTCTTTGCAGCACGATTTACGAAACGCTGGAGCTGCCCAAATGGGGCCCAAGGGCCTTCGAAGGTGTTGGAAGAACACTTTGAGGCGTAGTCACAATGATACCACGACGCGTATACAGTAATCAGCTGGTCCCAGTCAAACCTTCGGAGAGTCCGACCTATGCTTCATTTGCAGCCCGGCCCAGGCATCCCAGAGAAACCTGGTTCTCGCCATGTCTTCTGAGATGGCACAGAACTTAGTGGGGCTCAGGGCAAAGAGATCGGTTTGAGTGGAAAGGCCAGAAGTGGCCTGAGCCAAAGTGATGCAGAATATATTTATCTCATGCTGCAAGACGGAGTTGCTCCTCCAAGAACCATCATCTAACTAACGGGGATGTCCTTTGGATTTTGCCAATCCCAAGACAACTGCAAGATGGCAGATGTAGGAAGCAAAAACATCCCAAACACCTTGCTTGGGGCTGCCAAATCTCCCTCAGCTTGCAAAGGCCAAGAAGTTGTTGCTAGACTTAGGACCTAGGACACCCCCTTCAGCCAGTCGTCTTCTTTTGGCTCATCCGTCCGGCAGAGATCGGCTCATCGCGTCGATGTCTCAGGTCACTGCAGGTGTGGCGATGGTCAGATGCACAGTTCGCTTGGGGCAGCGGAATCGGCGTTTGGATGTTGATTTTCCTATCAGCAGCTAGCACTTGGAACAGGATCGAATGAGGAATGAGGACTCGCTTGGCATATTGATTCGCTTTTGTTTCAAGCTGATAGGAGTATAAAATATGTGGAATGGACACCTGCTGCCAAGTTATATATGTTTTCTTGCAATTTTGAGTCCCCGCACACCGTGCTGCACATTGTCCCACGCACACACACACATGATAACTGTCCACATACCGGTCTATATGATGTGATGAAGCCAAGCGTCTAATAAGTCTGATACAACACACAAACACTGTGAAGCTCTGACTGCACAATGCGACTTCACTGCATTTAACGCTAGCCAGCTTTTGGCAATCGTACACTTCAGGGTTGCAAGTCTAACGTAACACAACTACTGTAACCAATTCCTTTAGCTGTATTTTTTGCTGTACAAGAAGCACATGCCGCAGAAAGAGAAGCTCCCAGGACGCAGAGACCTGCAGCGCAATCGTCAGTGTCATGACGCTGAGAATTCGGGTGTGACATGTATGTGGAAAGCAATAGTCGCTACTAGGTTGGAGGCCATTACTGTAGCAAGAAGCTACTAGTAACAAGAACGCACCTAGGAACGGTAGACTCTACCTGAGTCACCTGAGTTAGAAGTCTAAGACATGACTTGAATAGGCCCTAGACACTCCACAAGGCGGAAACTGGTCAGCGGACTGGTGAAACACTGTGTTGATATTATGCATCCGTTGAAGGTTCAGAGGCCAGAGCAAGTGGAAGCCATAGAGAGATGTTGTTTTGGCTTGAGGTTCAGTTGCTTCCAAGCACCTTCACTTTGCAACTCCTTCAACGGAGCTGCGAGGCTTGGCGTGAAAGATCATGAAAGGCCATGAAGGGCCACAAACGGGCTCAGTTGGTTTGCGTGTTTTGGTCTTAGTGGCGAGAGTTGGTTCAGAACTTGTTAAGTTTCCCTAAACGTCAAGAAACCAAATCATCAGTGCGAGCGCTTCTTCAAGGAAGCTTCCCGCGCCGCCTTTAGGGAGGCGGGTGCAGTTTCCTTGAAGAAGCGTGAGCTATCCTGCATCTTGAGTAGTAGCTACTGAAAAGCTAATAGCTACCTCCCCTTAATCAAATTAAGTAGGTGCCTACTTAATTATGCAGGGAGGGGGGGAGTGCGCTAAAAATAGGTAAAAAACACTCAAGAGATTTGAGCTAGTTGACAGTCTAGGGCCTAGGGCTCGGACAGGTGCAGATTGGCTTGTCAATCTCACCCATGTATGCCAGGATGCTCTCATTCACTTTCGAAGCTGATAGAGCTTTGGGGTGGGTGTGAACTGTTCAGGGAGTCAAATCACATGCTAGGTGCCACCCTGGTGTATATTCCGTTTGGATCATGGATCCATGTCAGAATATAGGCAGGCAACCAGCAACCAGACTTCCTGGGCATCTAGATCTAGGCCCGAAGTCCTAAGAGGGGACTTGCGACAAGAGCCAGGGAGAAGACAAATACGGATGAACGCCTCACTCAATGCATTCAGGTCCAAAACATTGCAGTGTCAAAGTAATGTTCACCTTTCTACTTTTTGTCCTCGTAGCTTGAACTGGAGACGTAGACATGCATTACAGGAGAGGTGGAAAGCGCCTGGTGGCTGGGTTCGATTCGGTTCAAAGGCTATGGCTGTGTGATTAAACAAAATCGCGTTAAAATGGTCTGAACTTCCTAAAACCCTTAAAATTGTGGCAGCTTCACCGCGGTGCACCGGTCGTGACCTTGCAAGTTCTCGGCTCACAGCCATGAGACGGTGCTCACTCTGGGCCTACCGCGCCTGTGCCGCACTGTTCGTGCTCTTCGCGCCCCTTGGAGATCAAGTCTGCTTCGCTCGGGATAGGCGAGGATGGGCAGATGTGGCTCAAGTGTGTAGAATAATGTCCTGTACAGTAGACAGAATCTGAATACTGTATCTCCCGCCACCCATTTTGCAATTAAAATGTCATCACAGATTCGTGACCTGTAGTCAGTAGTCCCCTCGGCACTTGTTTTTGGAAGTTGTTTCTATTTATACATTATTTTTTCTCGTGTCTTTTCCTCAGCTCAAGCTCTCGGCCGTTTTGGCCCTGAAGCAAGTTGGCAACTTGCTTTGTCGCCCATCTGCCCCGCACGGTAGTCGAAGTTGTTTGCTGGCTATAAACTTGCCTTCTTTGCTGATGGCATGTGATTTGCACTGTTGGCAGGACAATCTGCCACCCTGCCTCCACAGGACATGCGAGCTATGCCCGTCCCAACCTTCGGCCTCCTCCCAAGGCCCGTTCCAGCAAGGCGTTGTGGCTAAAGCCACCAACTTCTCTTTTGCAGCATGCCGCAAAATGCGGCTTTTGCACTCCATGCACACAAGGTAGTTCTTCTGGAGCTCAAATCGGTGGGCTGACATCTCGGGCAGCGCGCCCGTCAGCATCTGCTGTAGCAACTCTCTTTTTTTGAGAGGCCTGCTTGGTTTCCTCCAGTGATTTGGAGTGTGGCTCCAGCCGGACACTTGTCATTTTTGACAGCTTCCAAATCAGCCATCTTCCAATGTTTTGTGATCCGTTTGCTGCAGCCCCCACACTGGAGACCAGAACCCTTGGTCTGCCATACATGCCCGCCGTCTTGGTGCTGATTGCCGATGTCCAAAAACAGCTGGCTCTTGGCCTCTCTGGCTTGCGCTCTATTCTTTTTCCCTGTTTCCATCATGCAAAAAGTGACCCTTGTCCTCGAAGAGGTGCTTGATGCGCTGAATTGCCAATGGAGCTATCTTCTGGTACCTCTGGTCAGTCACCTTCAATTCCTCCTCCAGCGCTTCTGGTCTGAGTGACATGGCCACCTCCTTGGCCGCCTTGGTGGCGTCCTTCATTCGAGCCTGAACAGTGAAAGGTCCACTTGGCATGTCATTGATCTGCTTCAAGGTCAGGCTCATGGGCTGAATACGGGATCTCTGATCATGCGTGACCAGATTGCTCAAATCGTGAAAAACCTCACGATGTTTTTGTTTCATCCAGCCTTCCCAGGCTCGCACTGAAAGCACTTGAACAACCACTTTCTTCGACAAGTCCAGGTAATGGGCCATCAGTCTCAAGCCGTAGAACCATGCACGTTCTAGTGACTGAGCTCCTGGCAACACTGTTGTTACCGCACCCTTGCGGTAAAGGACTCCATCAACTTGTGCGTGGTGCACCAAGGCGACAACGAAATGTTTGAGTCGCACATCTTTGCTAGTGGTTGCTATGCCTATTGTCACCTTGTCAGTGTCTTGCAGGTTCACTTCGTCATGGCTGGTCCATGAGCCCCAGGTCTGAACCGCCGCTCCTCCAGTTGACACCTCATAGGTGGGCATTTGGATGAGTCCCTGTGACCAGAAATCAAGATTGATTCCCAGCTCGACTTCTGCCTTGTCAGCCCTGTCTAGCGGTTTGCAGGCTTTTTGCGTCTGCGGGCATGTCCATAGCAGATGGATGGTGGTGGCTTCAACCTGACAATGTGGGCAAATCAGGTGCTTGCCCTCTTGTCCTTCGGAACTCTTGGAAAACAGAGCTCCTTGGTGCCAGGTCTGCAATGCCAAATTTTGTTGTTTGTTGAGTGTTCGGCTGAGTCGCCTCCAGGGAAGCCAGTCAAGGGGTTGCTGCACCTCTGCCAACTGCGATCGTTGATTGATCTTCATGACCGTCTCCCATCTTCTGGCCCGCGCAAGCTCTTGCTTGAGGAAAAACCAATCAGCATGCATGTTCAGCCGAAACTCCGGTTGCCCATTGTGTCCAGGCTTTGTCCACTCACTGTGGCTCTCATAGTTCCAGCCGTGTTCATGCAGGTAGCATTGCAAGGCAGCAACAGGTCCTTTGGCGTGCTGCCAATTACTTCACCTGCTGGAGTCGTTCTCGGTGGACTTGCCAGGCCTTCTCAAGGTCTCGCCCAAGATGTTCCGGCCAATTGCCATAGAACCGGTGGTAAAGCCGGACCTGATCTTCAAAGGCACCATAGTCGGGGTCACGGTGTTGAGGCATCATGTCGAAAAGGATGTCAACATTCCCTGTCTTTTGCAGTCCCATCTGACGGCCCATTGTGGCCTTGAGACGGCGCCTAACTTGCGGGGCCAGGCCCATGGCCTCGTGTCCCCAACTGATGCCAGCGACAATGGACCCCTTATACAACTTCAAGCGAATGGACTTCAGTGGTATCTTCAGCGCCTGCAACTTTCTGGTTTTCCTAGCTGCCTTGCTGCGCCGGCCTCTCAAAGTCTGGATTCTTCGCAGGCGCCCTGCTGTGCAGTCAACTCCAAGATCTCTCATCACGTCATGTATGCGTGGTCCTCCTTGAGGAAGTTGTTCCTGTAAGATCCTCTTGACAGCTGCATTCGAGCAAACAAAACCTGTCTTTTGGGCTGAAACTTTCAAATCATCTTTCTCAAGTTCTGTTCTGACAAAGTTGTATGCCTGAATGGCGATTCTGGCAGCATTGTGAGGATCCTTGTCAACAACATCAAAACTCAGGTCATCGATCCAAAGGTCTGTGTGCAGTCGAGGGTATTTCTTGTGGAATTCCTTCAGGGCTCTCTGCAGGTACACTTTGGCTGCCAAAGGAGCTTGAGGATCTCCGGCAAGGATTCCATGGGTGCCCCACAAAGGTTCTGAAGCCTCACCTTCTGCTTCCAGGATCCGACTCCCGCTGTAAACTTGCATTGCCATTGCTGCATGAGTGGCAGGATATGTGGACACGACCCATCTATTGGCCAGCTTCTGCAAACAGATGCGGTCATAGAAATTGGAGAGGTCCAACAGAACCGAGACAACAGTGCGTCTGTGTGCCGTGTGGTGTTCCGTCATAAAGGATCTCTTGAGCGCCGCTTGCAAACACTCTGTTCCAGGAACCGCTCGCTCCCAGGGATATTCATCTTGGATGTTTTGCGCCCACTGTTTGGTGTACTTGTTGCGAAGTCGACACCATAGCCGGTAGAGAGTGGCAACTGACGCGATGGGTCTTTCAATCACTTGGGACTCTGGCAGAAGTGCAATCAAAGATGCACCCCATTGATGTGGGATCATGGCCAAGCTCTCAATGTGATGAAACATTTCCTTCAAATCAGTCATGGCACTGAAAGGAAGAGCTTTGAGAAAATCAAAACCTATGCCGTCCAACCCGGGAGCTTTCAAAGCCAGCTGTTTGATGGTGTACCAAATGTGTGCCTCTGTGAGCGGCTCCATTGCTTTTGCCTCAGACTGCCCTTTCTCAATGAGACTCTCCATGCAGGAAATAAGAACCGGCTGCTCTTGCACTCTCCAAATGTTACCCCACTGGCTGACCCTCTTGGCCATTCGTTCTTCTCGAGGCAGTGTTTGGAACGGCCGCAAATACGGGAGTTCATCTTTCTTCAAATGTGATAGAGGCCTTTACAGCCCTTGTGCGCTGCTTGGGCTAGCCACTGCCTGTATTCCTCTGTCTCTTGTTGCGTGCTGGTTTGCTGATGCAATTCTCTCTGTTTCTGCGTGTAGTTCAGCAACACATGAATATGCTCATCACCGTGCTGGTGCCAAAGCATCTCAAAGAGCATCTTGTATCCTTGACATGTCACCGGAGCATCACTATGCCAGTTTTCATCAATGTGCCAGCCAAGTTTTTGCAAAGCCCCTTGATGCCTAGGTTCACGGTCTGTTTGGTGCAACAACCTTTGCAATCTGATCTCAATTTGGCCCCAAAAAGCGAGGCTCCCTTTCCGCCAGATCCAAGGTTTGCTGGGGTCAATCAGCGGCTTTTGCACGTAATGCAGAGCTGTGCCTCTTCCCAAACCTGGTTGCTCAAGGTTTTGCAACACATACCTCTCTATGCGGCTACAGAGGTTGCCAACTTGATTGGTGAGGTTGTCAGGTTCTTTGTTTAACCACTTGACTTCAACTTTCTGCTCCTCAATCTGATGCCAGTCTTTCTCCTGCTTCTGCATTTTTGATGCTGGCCCAAACTTTGACAGTTGCCTGACTACAACTTCTTCAAAAGGCCCAGCAATACTGAAGCGCAGCATGGCATGAGGCTTGAAAGGAACCATCCAATCTGCTTGAATGCGCATGTCCGCAATCAAAAGATTTGAGACAAGGGCCCAATCCAACTCGCTGCCCGTGTTGCACGTTTCTTCCCCCGTTGCCAGGATCTGAACTTGCATTGTTTGTGCCATTGTCGTTGTCATGAACACTTCCGGGCTGACATTGAAGTCACCAAAAACCACAACCGGTTTCTGCAGCTGCTTGACAAAGGCCACTAAGCTTCCCCAAAGTGTGGCGTTAGTCGGACCTTGCAGGCCCTCCCCACACTTGAAGTACGTCATGATCATGACCAGTGTGCTGTTGGCAAAAGTCCAGCTTACAGCATACCATCCGCAGCCCTCAATGTTTTGTTTCTGCAGGAAGTGGAACTGCATGTGCCAAGGATAGACCATCATGAACCCCCCATAGGTGCCCCCTTTGACACTCTCTGCTGCAGGTTCTCCTAGAACTCCAAGGCCTCTAGTTGCAAACCATTGTACCATCTTTTCATGATCCCCTGGACCTAGGTGTGTTTCGACCATGAAGAGCGGTTTGCGAGGTCGAGTGACCACCCACTGTCGGACTAAATGCCCTAGCTGAGTGACATTGGCAAAGTCAAATTCAATGCTTTCCTTGCACCCTCGTTTGGGATGTGGTGTCTCGATCTGTCTGCTCGGTTTTTCCTCCAGGTCACTGCCCACATTGTCGGGCAGCAGTCGGCATGAAGGGATGGCCCACACTTGAACAATCTGCTGTTTGATCTTGTCACTGAGTCTTGGATAGCCTTGGGATAAGCCCCATCGTCGACTAGCCAGTACAGCCCTCTATAGACAAAAACTGCAAAGAAATGCCCTTCTTGGTGAGCTGTGCCGGAATGACACAAGAAACCAATGACAGAAAACTGCAGCGTTTGTGTTTCATTGCCATCCATGGTCAAAGGCAGGTTGAAAATGGAAGGTACCTGAAGTTCACGGTGATGTTTGGTCCAGGCTCCATTCACTTGCCTGTATCGTCCTATTTGAGCCACCCATAGCCCTTGACCATCAAACACTTGGCCTTCTGCTGTGTTTGCCCACGTTGCTATGAGCTGCTCCATCTCATTTGTACCCTGATCTTCTTGGACAATCAGGTGCATTGGGAAGGCTCGACATTGATGAACCACTTGCCGGAAGTCCACATGATGATAGCTCTGTATCACACTGTTTGTTTCCGCCAGCGCAACCAATTCCTGCAGAAAATGGGACGCGTCATCCTGCTTGGCGTCGTCAAATTGTTCCCAAAGCTTCTCTGTGCCTGGAAGATTTGGTAGATGCACAATGTCATCTGCCCTGAGTGCCTCCAGAACTGCCCCTGTGGTTTTTGCCCACAACTGCCTGCCGTCCATGAAACTACCTGCCCATGCCCACAGACGAAAGGCAGCATTGGCAAAGCATCTGTTGTTTGGGTTGCCCAGTCTGCATTGCAAACTCTGAGCCACAAAATCGAGCGGGCTCATATGACCCCGCATTGTGTCATCTTTGTCACCTGCGTCATCATCGCTGGTTGGGATCATCGTGACATCATGATCACCGAAGCCGGGAAAAACCCCGGCCTCAGTAATGGCCATCAGCTGGATGGCCTGTGTCCCCATGTCAGCAAACGAAGAGACGTGCCCCCCACATCCTGAGCCAAAAGCTGCACAACCAGTCGCTTTGCTCTCTCTGTTCCCCTGAGATGTAGCATAGCTAGTAGTTGTGTCATCCCCTTGCTGAGCTTTTGCCAGTGCCCTGGTGTTACCCGCACTTCCTTCTTTTTGCGGCTGTTTCACCAAGCTTTGTTGCCAGCTCTTTCACCTGAGCTGATGTTGCCTGCAAGCCCACACTAGCCATCGCCGTGACCAAGGCTTCTGGCGATAGCTCCTCTGCCATTTCAGCATCTTCCTGCTTCTGGTTTTCCAGCTGTTGATTGTACTGAGATGTGGTCGTCTGCAGTTCCTTTTGGGCGGTCTCGATCTTGGTCTGCAGCTCCTTTAGATCTTGCAACAACTGGGTATACTGAGTCTTCACTGCATCAGCCTTGGCCTGAATGGCCGCCTTTTTCTCCGTGAGTTGTTTCAAGGTCCCCACAGCTTGCTTCACTTTGGATGCTAGTGGCGGTTCTGGTGGATTTGGAGCCACCAATTTTTTCTACCGCCTCCTTGAGGTCCGTTGGAAGGCTCTGCAAATGCTCCTGATCAAGGTCGGCAGGTCTGGAGTGACTGGAGCCTCAACCTCCACAACACCCAACACCCATGGCCTGACACTTCTCCTTGAGAGCAGCAGGCAGTTGGTTCGAATGGTCCTTCAAGGCCTTGTGTATCGCTGGCTGTTTGACCTTTTTGGCCTTCTTGCCTCGTTGGCCTCCATGAAGACCGGGTGGTGGCTCTAGCAAAGCTTCCTTGAAAGTCTTGGTGGGCCACCTTTGTCCAGAACCATCAAAGTTCCATGATGCCCAAGTCACCTTTCTGGACTTCCTCAAATCCGGTAGGTGATCTTTTTGCCATCTGGTGCCGCACTGGTTGCATGTCAACCTGGGTTGCGTCATCAATCTGTCTCCCCAAATCCAGCTTTGCCGGCAATGGGTGCAGACCATATACTGCCTTCTCATCTTTGAACACGATCAGGCCTGCCTTGCCGTCAGTCTTATTGCGACCGTGTTGTACTGCTTAGCCAGGTGACCGGCAGGTCACTTGGCTTGATGCTGAAATGGCTTGAGCCCTTGAGCCAAAATGGCTTGAGCCTTCTATTTATACATACAGTACAATATATAATATATACTGAAATATATACGGTAAAAGTAATTTAGTATTGAGTGTTATACAATATACAGACATACAGTACTAGTATGGGCAATATTTGCGATTGTATAACTTGTGGCATTGCTTCATGTTGATTTGCCCTGGTCCTTTTGAACCTCCAGGGCTTGCACAAATTTGCACAACAAGAACACCATTGTTCGGACGTGACCCATGGTTGTAGGTATGGGCAATTGGACCGGCAGATGTACAGCACACCATAGGCCGTGTACCTATTCAACAAGGTACGAAAGACACTGTAAATAGAGTAACTCGATGCAACAAGCCTTAGAGCCTTAGTTAGCCTTGCTGTAGTTACTTGTAGGTCAATGAAGTTAATCTCATTCAAGAAGTTCGCGTCTCAAAGGTTTGCAGCACACCGAGTCTTGTGCGAAAAGTAAAAGAAGACTCTGGGTTAAGCAATGAGCAAAGTGACAGCGCAGGTCGCAAGACTGGATTTGAAATGATTTGAATGGCAGACGGATAACTTCAAGGAAGCTCTCCCCCGCCCTCAGGCGGCGGGAGCTTCCTTGAAGAAGCGTGAACTTTGTTGCGTCCTAGCTAGAAGCTTACCTAGCCTAGTAGCAGCGTGTTTAGCTCCTTACTTAATCAACAAGTAGGTGCCTACTCAGTTTGGTAAGAGCGGGCTTTACAAAAGAAACTCATGTTTCTTGCGCATTGTTGAAAACCCAGACTCAGCATTTGAGAAGCACTAAGGCTCAGCCCAGATCTGACTTTCACGCCTAGGCCAGGCGACTCGTGGTGTTCGTCGAGAAGGGTCAACAAATTGTGTCAACTGAGCAAACTCCAACATTTTCAACACCCAAGCTCCGGACCAACACGCAGCAACAGCATGCAACAGCAGCAAATAGCATGAAGAAACCCAAGAAGCGACGCAGCGACTTGGACCTTGACGACACCTGCATCAGGCTGTGTATGGCTGTACCCTGGTTCTATTCAAAGCTGTCTATCTAATCCAGCCATCGCTCTTAGGTTGTAGGCCATCGCTAGTAGGGTGGAGGCCATCGCTTGCAGGGTACTTAAAAGCAGTTTGTACTCTTGCGAATAGTGGTTCGTAAATGGCTATGGCATCCAAATAAAGGTTGCCGTCCAAACCCACTGAGCCATGGTCGTAGCAAATAATGAGTTTCTAAATCGAATCCGCTTCTTGGAGTGCATTAGGTCGCAAAGAAAGGTCGCAAAGAACGTCTACAGCCTTTGCCCTTTTTAGTCTTTGTTCTGCGCATGTTGAGGTCCGGAACACCAGGCTCTTCGAGCTCAAAGTCAAGCGGTGTGAAGCTTCTGGGATTCAGCTCCTGGGCGATGGGTCTTAGAACATGTTTCGAGCATGTTGGGGGTTTCGAAGCAGTGTGGGGGCATGCAAGACAGCCAATCATTTGTGGCAACCCAAGCGGATCTTTCAAGTCCTTTCGTTTGGGGGAACATGAAAACTATGCAACATCCATTCCTACGCCTTGATTGCCGAGAGATTGTTTTTGAGCGAACGATGCTGTGTCCTCGACCGGGATCGCCGACATACCCAGGTTCAGAGCAACTGTTCCCAGTCGCATGGATGCAGAAATCGATGTTGTGTTCGGTCAGGACAGGTCAGGACCTTCGCGTGTCCAGAGCTGGAAGCTTTTGGACGTTTGGAGTTTGGAGCTACCTGAGGTTACAAATGCAAGCTTGATCTCCTGGGTCTGCCTGATCTTCTTCCCCAGCTGGCGAAAGCTTCCATCTGCTGTGCTTCTGGGTCCGGTGATCAATGCCATCTTCTACACCCTTATAGCCGGCGCTGTTCTCATAAGCGGAAACCAAGACGCCAAGATCAACTTCAGTTGTCTGGAAGGCTGGATCTCAGGGCAAAATGAAGTCATGCTGTAACAGTTAGCTGTGGCTGGAATCCATGAAATCGCTACGTCCCCGGCGTGTCCTGCCCGTGTTCAGGTTCGGGGTTGGCAACAATTAGTCATCAGCATTTCAATTCCCCCAAAAGCATTTGCATGACGTCACAATTGAAGGCAAAAAATGTCTATGAATGTGGAGAGGAGCCTATGTGTGTATTGCCAGCTGTGATGCAGGATATTTCAGATGTTGTGCCCCTGCAACACGTATGTTTACCGTCCTACCCGTTCACTTTCGGAGTGATTCCCGGGAGGCATCCGTGCAATGTTCGCAAACTCTGATGCGTGTTTTGCGGGGTGGCTACACTATTGTGTCCTTGAGCTGCAGGTTTTGCGGACTTGAAAAAGCGTTCAGCATCTTATTTGGGCACCGACAGTACCGCGGACGTTCCAACCTGGATTCAAAGGTCCTTATATCAGCCAAATTATGGCATCCCATAACAATAATCTATAGTACGTAATATTCAACAATGATAGGCGTTCAAAATTCAAACTATGATTTAAAACATATGTAAGATCGATATTTACAGGAGTCTTGCAGTGCCATACAGTATGTCATGCTACCTCGATATTTCCAGATAATTAGGCGTGCTCCGTTCGCCGTCGCAATATGGCCGTGGCTGCCGGCCCAGGTCTTTGATCCCTTGGTTGGCTTGGGTGAGGTGCTTGACAGTCGGCAAGTGAAGGCTGGACTCCACAGGTTGGGTTCTCGTGTTCATCACCGGTCTTGGCCAAAACCGACTCTTCACAGTAGGTGTATGTCAGTATATGTAGGTGTTCCATGGCTTGAGATTGTCATGCTCGCCCCCCAAGACATGGTGAAGATGCAGCACCAGCCTAGTTACTTCAAAAGGTCTTTGGCAGCTAACCTGTTTTTCTATACACACACCTATATATATATATATGCAAACAGCTTGTCCTTTCACATCTTCACAAGTACTTTTAGTGACTTGCAAGTGAGAAGCCTTTTGCTGAGGAAATACGTTTGATGTGTTTGTTGTTTCCTTTTGATGTCCCTTTGATTTCCTCAGATGTATCCATTGGCCGTGTTGTGTTGCTTGATTAGTTGCTGGCTTGTTCCTGACACGTGTCTTGGATTTCAGAGGAAGTTTATGCAAGCAGCATCGAGTGTCATCCATTTGAAGGGCTTCTTGCTGGTCAACAGGTCGAAACATGGACCAGTGTCGGTGGCGAAACAAATCTTCCATGAACCCTATAGGCTCTCGAGCAGATGTTGCAGGTACCACATTTGCTGGTGGTCCCGTGCCTCTTCATGACCATGTTGGTAGGCACTGAAGAGGGCACGGACTCCGAGGTGTTGATGGCCATGCTAAAGTGTGCAACTCCAAGTCTGAAAAGCAAGAGACAATACGTGCCATGTTGCATGTAAGAAGGCAAGTTGAGCAATGCTGCCTCAGGGTAGCTTGCGACACTTATGCATAAGGAGCTGCTTGAGGGATTACTTGGCCTTTTGATGGTACTTTTCTGCCGAGAATGCCTTTTACAAATCCCAATATATATAACTCGGCTGAACTTGTAAGGACAAACCCTTGCGCCCTTTCCTTCCGGCTTGAAAGTGCTTTTGCCTATCGGGAATGCAGGCCCCATTGGCTTCTTGATGTACTTAACTCTGAGGTGCGACCTGCAAAACTGCGACCAGAGGGCATGGTAGGTTCTCCGGTAAAGGGGAATGTGGGCCCACGTTGGTGTTTCTTTGAAGCAAACGATATTTAGATGTGGTTCTGGCTGCATGGCGAAGCCAAAACGGACTGGCTGCTGTATAGATCGCAAGTATTTTCCTCTTCATGATCTCAGAGGCCATGGCATTGTAGCAAGCAAGCGATTCTTCGGCAGTAGGGAGAACAAACGCTGTTTTTTGGCCTCACATGTTTCAGGGGAAATCATCATAACGCAAGATTTTGTGCTATAAAAAAAATCAGCCGTCGCCGCAGGTTCATTGTGCTATGGTCCAAAGATGATGGTGACTATATGGCTCAATAAGAATTTTCAGAACGTGGGCAAGATGTGCATATGTTGAAATTCGTGGCCCACCTCCTTATCAAATACAGGCGGACAAAGTTCCCGAACAAAAAAAAAAAATATTGGTATATTAGAATTATTAAAACGAAAGGACGAATGAAAGGATAATATATCAAATAGAATATTAAACAATATAATATATAGATCTATGAATTTAAAATCTATTTTATTATATATAAATATATATATAATAAAAACATATTTAATAATTATTATGGTTAATTTATTTTTATTATTTAAATATTATAAATAATATAAATAAAGATTTGATTTTTGATTTATATTGTATTATTGAATAATTAAATATATTTTAATTTGAATTGAATAAATTAATATATTTAATATTTAGTACTAATATATATATTATTTAATTATATATATATAAATTTAAAATTGATTTAGTTGATATCGATTATATATTTATATTATATTTTGGATATATATATATTTAATAATAATTAATTATTTAATTAATATTTTGTAGCATAAATATTATTTAATATATTATTTATCGAATTTTATATTATTGATTTAATAATTATTTTTATAATAAATCTAATATTTAATATATTATAATAAATAAAAATTATATATATAAAATGAATATTAATAAATTTAAAGGAAAATTATATTTAAATCTATATAAAATTTGATTTTATTTAAACAATATATAGAATTTCATTATTTTGTTGTTATGATCTAAATATATTATTTAAACCTATATTTTATATATATATATTATTTTTATTGATAAATTGATATCCACCTATTTATTCTCTAATTTTGAATGGCAATAAAAATTATCGGACCTTAACGGCCATTCTCCGATAACAATGTTAGTCGCCAAACCTCAATGGCTAGGCCCCGGCGGGCTTCCCCTGCTTGTTCTTGCAGATTCCATGTACGAAAATATTCCAGAAGTTGAGGTATATTAGATTGCCGCGGCCACATTGAACAAATACCAAATAGGATCGATTTAAATTCATCTTATTCAAAAAATATTCTTATCGTAATAATAGCCTGCTAGAGCCAGAAAATATTGACTCCAATACATTGAAATAATGCTTGGATCGCTACTGGCCATTGGTATTCCTGCCAATCAATGGTGGTTTCCATAAGCCTGGAGGAGATCCTGATAAGATTGATTGTCCGTTATCATTTCAACATCCATGCATATGCGAACAATTTCGAAGGAAAAATCAATTGATTCAATTGATCCAGTCCTAGTCCAGAGCCTGTGCTATATCAATCAATAATGAAGCAACAAGATAAATCTATATTGCCTCATCTTCGTGGATTACAATGCGGTGCGGAGACGCAAATGCAAGGCATATCGAGATCCAAATCCAATGCTTCGGGACGTGGATATTGGGATATTGATGAAGCAAAATACCTAATCATCATAAAATAGGAATGTGGAAATTACCACAAATGAGCACAGGTCATGGTCGAGCGCTTGTATCATTGAAGGAAATTTTCCAGCGTGAATATTGGCATATATTGAATCGAACACTTGCAGACCATATATGAGAGCATTGGCAATATATGGTGCCTATTCATCATAATATCCCATGAGTTGCATCTGGGTGTCCACGGCGTCGAATTGAATAGAGATGGACGATATCTGAATTACCGCAGATAAGGACGGTGCCGCACAGTCAAACATGGCGCCAAAGTGATCCCTCTTGATCCAATCATACAATAATATTGGACTTACAGAACATCGAAAATATATGAATAATGCAAAATCCATGATGAATACATTGAAATAGCAATTGCATGCAAATTGGCCCGGCAGCATGTCACGATCCGCTTGGAAGGGAAAGTATGAGAGCCTCTCAGCCTCATGGTCCCGATATAGATAAACTATAAGGGCTTTGCGTCCAAGCTTTGCCTGACAAATCGGGCATTTGTAAATCTTGGCAGAGGGAGGACATTCGGTGGTCGGCATGGCTAGTATTTGCTTCATGGTCAATGGCATCTTTTTGGGATCATTTCCGTTCTGTGTCTGCTTCGGCGAATTGAAGGACTCCGGAGTTACGGATTCGGGTTGACAATGCTCTTGATGGGCTTCAAATCCATGTGAGGGGAAAAAAAAAAGAAATTCATGTAATATATCCTATAGGCATGGAAACAATTCGATGGAGATATCATTGAACGAACGTCCTGGTCATCATGGTCGATTTCCATGGATTAAGAGGCAATTGAGGTGTTTCGTACCTGTGGCGGTGGCGCGGCAGGAATGGACAAAGATCGAATATGCATAATCGAAATCTGAGGAATATTGCTCCGCATCATGATAGGCATGCATAGAAAATGAATGGGATCATATATCTGATTAAATATAATATTGATTTGGAAAAGAATTACCCATTCGATATAAATGATTCAAAAGATATAAATTATTCGGTAGTGATTCTGACAAAAGATACGAGTATCCCGACCGTTACCCAGATTAACTAGTCCATAGACCTGTTCCCTGGCAGGCTTTTCTCAACCTATCAAATGCGGATGAGCGTCATTGTAATGTTTGCGGATGATTCTAGAAGCTGCGGCGATATGGCAATATATGCAATGATTGGCATTCTCGGCCATCAAGGCCTTATTGAACAAGAGAGCCGGGATGCATCTATAGCGGAGATGCATTCGTAGATCAGGGCGATGACAAATCGAAAGGATGGATTCCTTGGTCAGGTCGGATTGATATAATATATAAACCGATATATATTAATGAATGATTTGATACAATGGGAATAAATTTCGTGTCCATACCTCGACCAAACAAGGGCAATACAAAATATTCTCGACCAAACAAGGGATTGAATGATATGAACGTATATATCGCTTGAGGTATCCAACCTGGTGGAATGCTCATTAATATTCTGGGCATCGGAGGTCCCCCACCTGTGCATACGGGTAGTTTGAAGGGGCAGGCTCAAGTAATTGACATTGCGGATAGCCTGGGGTCAGTGCAATGACGTCATTGGGATCTGTGGATATGGCGTCAGCCGAGAGGGTGGATCGATGTTGGCTCAAATTAAATTGCAAACGTGCGAATTAATTTTGCACTATAATATATGGAGGATCAAGGTGCAACCTGGCAAAAAAAAACGGATGAGGTGAATTGGGGATTTGACCATGATATGGTGATGATTATTGATAAAACCTATGATTCTTTAATGATATCCATCTCAAAGATGTCATAGAATACAATGGCAATGATACATTATCTATATAAATGAATCCGCAGCCACAATGGGTGGTGTCTATCCGTGAGCCAACCTTTGAGGACACGAAAATATG